CCGTGCCTTCCTTCTCTCGCCTCAGCTTCGAAGATGATGATCGTGCCTAACCTAACTTTTCGAAAAGCTGAAGTGACGGGCAAAAAATGATTTGAGTTTTAATCGATTTCAACAGCTTGCGGGCTATAAAAATATGATTTTGGGGATGACACGTTTTATTTCGTCTTTTTAAAAAAAGTGCATTTACGTTCACTGCTGCTGCTGCTGCCTAGAAAAAATATGCTGTGTTTGCGTCATTGGCGAGTGTGAATGAGCAGATTATGTTTTGAAAGACCATGTGAGCTCTGAAGATTTGTGAAGTGTGAATAGTGCGTCGATCTGTCTACCTACATTCTGTGGGTGCTCATAAACAAAACAGTCGTACTTTTAGCTCCGTGTAAAGAGTACATGACATTTGATGTTCTATAACCATGGATCTGAATTCTGAGCTGGGTGGTGGCAACAAAGCTGATAGGACTTTAAAAATCCCCTCCATTTTTTTTCTTGAGAGCTAGCTATAGATTGATGCATAGAGTTTAAGCAAATATTTAGAATCTTAACTGGGACCAAAAATACTGCTGTAAGAATTGAGGGAGAGTAGTGCGAATGTAAGCAGACGAGAAAAGGAGTAAGGCAAGGTTGCATTGTGACCCACAGTGGAACAAATCTCAGACATACGGATGGAAGCCTAGGTCTCAAAGATTACCGAGAAAGCAGCAATAACTGCATCAGATTTGCCGATGGCATAGTTCTAATTGCAGATTCAGAAGGAAAAAAAGGTTGCTTCAAAGTATGACGCTACACACAAGGTTACGTCATGAACTTACCTCACTAAATCCTGCTCTCCTGAAAACAGTACGAAGTTATCTTTAATATTCTTGTCTTGATTATTTTCTCTTTTGGAGGAAAGTAAACCCGAATCAAAAACGTAACCTAGAACATCTACAAAATATAGGTTTAACGATTTTAATCTCAAACAACGATTTGGTCAGTGGATGGCAGCGTCTGGCAGGTTGGATGTCATCGCAGGGGGGACCTCTTTATCGACTGAGCCTGTTTCACATCTATCACGCCCGCTCATATGACCTTATGCAGTTGTAAGTGCCATAAAACTCTAATAAGAACCTCGTAAACTCACAAGACGTGTGCACCACGTAATGACCTGCTTCAGAGGGCTACAGATTAACAGCCTGAGCGTCTGTGCGAGGCGTGATGGGAGAACTCTTGGTGGGAAAGGCACCGCCTCATATTATGGAGATTTTCAGCCACCATCGATATCGATGGATATTCGAATAAAACCAATATAATCAATAATGAATCACTGTATGCATGTGTTCATGCATGTTTTTGTAAACCGACCCCCCCCCCTTTCCCACCAGGACAGTGCTACTGACTGAAGTTGTCTTTAGACCATTCCCAAAAGGGGGGGGGGGTATTAACATATTCGTATACACGGTAGAATTGTAAATGGGCTGATTTATCAATGTCATGCTCATACTGTGCAGGAACAGTATTGGGGGAACTGCTACCTTTTCTTTCCTCATCCTTACTATCGTCATTTCCTTCTACTTCTTTTGTATGTTCGTCACTCTCTTGTGAACTGTTATTTTCGGGGTTCCTTGATGATCTAAGCAGACTGTGCGCTGTTGAGGCTACAGAGGTGAACAGAGTAAGCCCGATTCCCTCTTTGGATTTTTCTGTTGACATCCACCCCTTGGCGCTCATATAACGTTATGCAGTTGCAAGCACAGTAAACCATTACTAAAACAAAACCGA